TACGAAAACATGTTTCTTTTTCATTAATTTTTAGTCAAACACATTTCTTTTGAATAAATTATAACTGTTCTAAAGAATAATATTTTTAGTACATATTAAAACATTAAAACACAAATGAAAAGAACAACCCTCCTATTCTCCAACTGTGGCCGTCGGGCATACAAACTTGTAAACGCCACAGAGGCGTATAGGAGTTTTGTGCCCGGCGGCCCTGCTTATACCAGGTGCCCATTGCAGTTGGGATCGGATCGGGTCGGGTCTAATGCCCGACTTGTGTCCTGAAAACAAATGCGTTTGTTTTTGAAGCGACAAGTCAGGCGATCGGTTCGTGCCGCGATAGCCGCATGGCGCCCTCAATCTGGCTAGAAAACCGACTAGACCTGACCTATTCGTGCCAATGGACACCCCATGTTATATTTGGTCGGCCTAACAATACATGGACATACATGTAGTTGTAATTCCCGGCGGTCCATTGTGCGCAACCGTATCGTTTGAGTCGCGTCCTTTTCTTTTCTTTTTCATTGTGGATCTAGATCAAACGTGGTAGTCGAGTTGGAAAGTCGACAGCGTTGTCCATGTCGAAGGGACGGGTTACGTACTAATAAGGTTGTTCACTCTTTAGGCAGAAAACCAACAAGCAGCAAAATTAAAACACCATGGCCCATTAAGTTTTGGGAGGTATCTGCCTATTTATTGTGTTTTTAGAAATAAAAGTCATTATTCTTTATGAATATTTATTCATTTAATTTCTTTTGAAAGAATTATAACTGGTCTAAATTACAACATTCTAGTACAAATTTTTGGGCGAGACATTCAGAGAGAAAGATTTAAAAGTGTGGGGGGTGTTTTTACCACCTTGTACTTGAACTTTATTGCTGCAACGCAAAACAGAGTGAAATGGAGTTCTATGATCGCTCACACCAGTCGGCAAGGCACCAGATGATGATGATGATGACAAGTCCTTTATTCAATTTCTCTCTCTCTCTCTCTCTCTCTCTCTCTCTCTCTCTCTCTCTCTCTCTCTCTCTCTCTCTCTCTCTCTCTCTCTCTCTCTCTCTCTCTCTCTCTGTCTGTCTCTCTCTCTATATATATATCTCTGTCTCTCTCTCTCTCTCTCGCCCTCCCTCATAGCCCTCCCCCCTCTGTCTCTGTCTCTGTCTCTCTCTATCCCCTCCCCCTCTCTCTCCTTCCCTTTCTCTCTCTCTGTCTCACTTTCCCTCCCTCCCAACTCCTGCCTCTCTCTCTCTCTCTCTCTCAATCTCTGTCTGTCTGTCTGTCTGTCTGTCTGTCTGTCTGTTTGTCTGTCTGTCTGTCTGTCTGTCTGTCTGTCTGTCTGGGTGTGGCGATTTTTAGACGTACCGTAATTTTATCTCTGCTGTTTTCTGGAAATATCAGCCTATCATCGGACTTTTTTTTACATTATTCACGAGTCGGAACTCCGTACGGACTCGGCCACTGGTATCACAGTCCACACGTGGTTTAGCTTTTCTTGAGATCTTTTCTGAGTTTCTTCATGCTGTTGTATGTGTCTGGTCGTGCCAGGTGACAGCCATCTGTAACTCCTTTTGATTTGCTGTTAAAAGAGGTGTTTGTAATAACAATCCCGCTGACTTTGCAAAAGTTTGCAAGCTTATCACAACAGTCGTATCTGTTTTTCAGCCCGTCCTATTCCATATTCCTTGCCTTTTTTGTCTTCCATTTTTTTGGCATTAAGGTTGTCCGTGATCATTCAAACTTTTTATTTGCGAATTTTGTATTTTTATATTTTCAAGTCAGTAATTTTATTTTCTTCCGTGCTTCTGGGGGAGGGTGCATTACATGGTTAGAATTGCAACAACGTGTATGGAGACAAGAAAATAGGGTGTAAATATTTCCATGATTTGAGTATCCATTTTTAAAAAATCTAAAAATGCGAACCATGTGGAAAAACAATCTCCTCAAGAAAATGGCCAAAGACAATGGGATTATAATATTTTTTTCTGAATCTGTAGCTAATATCGGGGTTTTCAATTGTTTTTTTATATATTAAATTCTTGTATTTTAAATAACTTACGGCCTGCGTAGCTGAGGAATTCCACTGCTTTTGCTCACAAGACTCGTCCATCTTGCACCAAGTCAACGCAGTCAGATTTTCTTGACTTCACCCCACCCTCCCCCAAGTACGCACACGTAACTCTCTATCAAGCTGATATAAAGGGGAGTAGTGTTGTCAAAGTTGTCACACTCGAGGGGGGAAGTTTAAAATTGCCGTTTAAACGTTATCACAACAATGTTTTTTGAAAAGAGAAATCCTGTCTCCAAACATTGTTGAAATCTCAATATGTCCATTTTCTTCCTTTTAATTTCTTAGCGAAATGATAGTTCTGCATTGTACAGCGGTTAGAGTCTTCTCCTGATTAAGCGCTATATAAAAACCTTCATTATACTATTTATTACTATATATATATATATATATCAAAAGGCATTTTAGCATGGGTCAAATTTGTCAAGATCTATATGTCCCTGTCTACTTATATTTTCCGGTCTATTTATCTTGTTCGACCAATAGCAACTTCTCGTCTCTTACTTGATTCCACGGTATTAGATTAGGTCATTCTTTAAAAAATGAAAATTAAACACTAACAAAATCTCCCCTTCCTCTACCTCCCCTAGACGGCGGTGTCTCTCCAAAGCCTGCACAAGAAGAGGATTTATCATCAGGATTTGAGGCCTCAGAACATCCTCCTCATTGACTCTGACGTCGCCTTCATCTCTGACTTTGGTGCTGCGAGTCTACTCCCTGAGGGATGTGACAAGGTGGACACGTGGGCAGCTGCGCCTGGTTTCCGGGGACCCGAGGCGGACCAGGAGGGTGGTCCCTTCTGTCCATTCCAACTGGACACCTACAGCCTGGCTGTCACCATGTGGCAGGTACTATCTAGTCTGTGTCCAGTCAAGAACAAGCCTTTGGATCCCCTAGACAACATCCCCCCGCAGTACGCTGCCTTGTTGAGGAACCTTCTTCTTCCGGACCCCGACAGGAGATGGACCCTAGACAAGTTCCTCACTGAGGCCCTGGAGCTGCACCCGGACCTGTCCTGTCTTCTCTGAGACGTTTGGATCCCGTCTGTGGCGTTCTAGAGATAGTTAAAAGACAGTCTTAATCTTCGTACGTCTTGCCTTCTCACTGTTAAGCTTTCCAGTTTGAAGCTTTATACAACGCCTTTGATAAACTGATGCCAATGTTGAATAATGTAATATTGTTCTGAATTAGAGCAGGCCCAAGAGAAAGAGAGAGAGAGAGAGAGAAAGGGAGAGTAGGAGAGAATGAGAGATAGAGGCAACGATTACAAAGTAGCTAAGAGTGAAAGTTAGTGAGAGACAGTGTGTGTGTGTGTGTGTGTGAGAGAGAGAGAGAGAGAGAGAGAGAGAGAGAGAGAGAGAGAGAGAGAGAGAACAAAAATATAATTAAAAGTTGTGGTTAGTCTTTCTTTACATTGGACTGTGTTCGTGATCTTGATGTGATGTATATGTGCCCAATAAATAAAAACAAATCCAAAAAAACTAATTTTCAGATTCACTTAATCTTTCCCTTCCTAGTCTGCTAATTAAATTAACTTTACCCCTTCTTTTAGCTTTTAAAATCTTTGTTTGTATTGTCTATATATTCTGTCTGTCTGTCTGTCTGTCTGTCTGTCTGTCTGTCTGTCTGTCTGTCTGTCTGACTGTCTGTCTGTCTATTTTTTTTTTCAAGATAGCTGGTTTGTTTATCTCTCCTTTTTGTATTTTTACAACGACGAGCATTACTTGTACAGAGAATGACAGACGAAACTATTAGGTAGAGCGTATTATTGCATAATCTCTCTTCATCTTGACAATAAAAATCTACAAAAAGATTTACCACTAATTTGACACCCTTCTTGGTTGTGATGTATGTCAAAATTTAACTTTCAACGGTACGAAATTTCTTATATAAGTTATTCAACCAACAAACTAAAGATTTCCTTGTTTAGTAAATACGGAATGGAGAGATCGAGAAACACCAAATAATCAGGTGATAATATCATTCTTCATGGGTTAAAAACCAAGTCATTAGGAAACAGAAGAAATTTGTTATACATAACAAAAACCTGACTGCCCTCGAAATTGACTGCACCAATAGCTTAAGTTAATTCACTTTTTGATACACGCACTCTCTCTCTCTCTCTCTCTCTCTCTCTCTCTCTCTCTCTCTCTCTCTCTCTCTCTCTCTCTCTCTCTCTCTCTCTCTCTCTCTCTCTCCCCCTCCCTCTCTCTCTCTTTCTCCCTCTCTCTCTCTCTTTCTCTCTCTCTCTCACACACATATATACACACACACACACACACACACACACACACACACACACACACACACACACAAACACACACACACACCTTGGATTAGCCACTAAAATGTACCACGGCATGGTAAAAGCAACAGCAGTAGTACCAACAACAACAACAGCGACAACAACATCAGCCTCAATAACAGCAACAGTAACAACAGTAACAACAGCAACAACAATAACAACTAGAACAACAACAAGCATGGTCAGGGGCCCCGTATAGACCATAGAGGGTGACATCTCGGTAGTCCATTTGTCGTCTTTTATCACGGGATTCTCGCTGCTTCTGTGAGGACCTTTGTCTCTGGCAGGGACAGGAAACCACTCCAGTCGGACCTTTCTGGGTGAACATTGGTCTGTAGGAAATACACAGACAATTGGGGACCGTCACTGTATGGCGATTGGCCACTAAGCTTTCAAACTAAGAGCTGGCATAATATTTATAGGCCACAGAGGGAGTGGAAGTGGGAGGGGCTGACTTCTCAAGACAGCCTATCTTGTGACCTAAAGCAAAAACAACCTCAAAACTATAGCTTGTAACATAAAGGTTGCCTATGCTTGACGCAGGAATATCTCAAAGACTACCCGACCGATTACCTTTATATTTTGAGAAGAGCTTAGTATCCATCTCATCCACTGGGAAATGCAATCAATTTTCCGAAATTGTGGCTGGTTAATTAATTAATTACGATGTATCATTACTAATTCAATACAAGTTTTACAGTAATCACGTGCTGAAAGTTGGACAAATTGCTAGTTTCTCGGATGTTCATAGGCGTCGCCAGTTCTGAACAAATTTCATAACCATTATCTGAAGCGACATTGTTGGTTACACAGACAGACAGACAAACCTATATCGAGATAGTGACAGGCCTACGGGACACATTTAAACATATTTTAACAATCACCAATTATTCAGAATCAGATGTATCCTCAATCAGATTGATGACTACACTGGGCGGCTTGGAAATTCAATCCATCATTTATCCAGTATTTTTCCTCTGTTGCTTTGACATGGCCCTCACACTTTTGCCAAAATTCTCTGGTTATACTTGATACGGCCTCCTTTGTGTGTCGCTTAACGTCATGGATTTTAAATGTTGTATTTGTCAAAGCAACCTTTTTCTTCATCTCAGCCCAGATTAATTCAATAGGTTTAAGCTGACGGTGGTAAGGAGGGGGGCTAAGAGGTATGTGACCATGGTCTTCCAGGTACATGTACTTGTCTACTCGAAAAACTTCTGCCTTGCTCTGTTCGCTGGCGTTCACGATGTTTAGTAGATCCTTTTTGGTTTTCGCTGTACTATGGTCGATCCCACGCTTATCAAGCCAGACTGTTACTTATAGGGCCTTTGTTTATAGATTTTGTTGGCACTTTATCATCAGGATTAGTTAAATTATGATACATGTGTATGATGCATTGTCCATAACCAGGCATGAATTTTTATTTTAAAGCAGGCACCACAGTGTTACTAATCCATTTTTCAAACTCGTTACTATCCACGTCCTTGTGATAGTCGCCATTTTCGTCTTTCGACTTTGACTCAAAAACCAATTCACAATTATTCACTAGTCCTCTCTCATGGCTTCCGATATGCGCAATTATAAGGCGTTTACCTTTTCGAGTCGGAATGAATCTCTGTAGGGTGTCAGATTGCCATTCTTTGGTGGACGTGTGGTGGGCATTGATGTAGGACTCATCAAGAAAATAAATGTCAACGTTGTCTTCTCTAAGCTGTTTTAATTTTCGTAGGTACTTCCCCCTCAGTGCAACCATGTTCTTTGACTCACAAATTACGTCTTTGGATGTTTTAGTCTTCTTGAAACTGAAACCTAGACTTTTCTCAATGCGCCATAAAGTCTGTTTGTTGATATCTAGATCGTGATTGCTTTTCAAATAAGACATAAGTGTTAAGTGTGACGTACTAGTTATCACCTAACATCTTTCCAACAGCGTGTCCCACGACATCCCTGTCAAAGATATCAAATTTAACAGGTCGGCCTCTCTATGTCACCTCGACGTCTTCGGTTGCATTTTACTCCGATATCCATCTGTTCAAAGTCCTGTCACTTAAATCAAGCAAATGTTTAAATCTGCTAAATGGATCAGAAATTGAACGATTTAGACAACCGCGGTTTTTCTCACAAGTGAAATACATGTAGTTATATACTTTCAGAGCAATGTTCTTGTAAGTAAATAATTTCAGTTTTAACTTAAACTTCATCTTCATCACAATCTGATATTCAGCAAGTTAACAATTCAAAATATTAAAACCACACAGCCCAAATCGATTTTTTTTAAAAAGCGTACACGCCTATGGCTCTTGATAATTACTGACAGATCACAGTGCCGTTCTCTTGTTCATTGGGCGGAAACATGTGTTCGTGTGTAACAAAAGTGACTGTTTACCTTGATTAGCTATAGAAAACAGCAGTTGTGAAAAACACTACTCACGATTTTCACAACAGTATTGACAATACACAGAGTCGCCAAAGCTGTAATAATGTTTAAATTTGTCAGAAAAGATAAAAACATATTATGCTTTCCTCAAACGTTAAAAATGTATTATATCAGGTGCGTGGCGACGATTTTTAAAAATCTTATTAATTACCAAACATCAGGACACAAAACGCCTGTGAGGCAACATGTACTATTTTATTGTTTTACAAATGACATCAGTCGGGAAAAAAAGTTTTATAACTGAGAAAAACAAGCAATAAGTGTTTCAGAAAGTTATGATACAGTACAAATGGGCAAGATTAGATCTACTCTTCTTCCATTTCTTTCTCTCCATCGCTCTCTCTCTCTCTCTCTCTCTCTCTCTCTCTCTCTCTCTCTCTCTCTCTCACTCTCTTTCTCTCTCTCTTCTCTCTCTTTCTTTCTCTCTTTCTCTTTCTTTCTCTCTTTCTCTCAAAACGATTAACCTCTTAGATGAATGAATGAATGAATGAATGAACGAATGAATGAATGAATGATCCCGTTTTTGCATTAATATCTCATTTCAGCTGACCGATCAGATATCTTTATACTTCCATAGACTGCCACCGCAACAGCATGGCTTTCCACCGTAAAGCTTTCTCTCTCTCTCTCTCTTTCTCTCCCCCCCCCCCCTCACTCTCTCTCTCTCTTTCTCCCCCCCCCTCTCTCTGTCTCTCTCTCTCTCTCTGTCTTTTTGTTTGTTTGTTTGTTTTTGTAAAGTGTTTTACGGCCCTCGCAACTGCATAAGGTCATATGAGCGCGCGAGACACACCTAATATTTTCAGTTGGTAGGGAATTTTGAATTTTGCCCGGGTGGCGGCCGAAGCCTACTCTTATCGATTTTAGACCACCAAGGGATCTTTAACGTGCGCAACTTGCACACGGGCCCTCCGAGATTTTTCACCCTTGTCCGAGAAGGCTAGGTGTAGATCTTTCCTACCAGAAGATCAGAGGTGTGGCTGAAAGACAGCAGTAAGAAGAAGCGAAGGAGTAGCAGTAGAAAGGCTGCAGAAAGAATCAGGAGCCCAGAGGAGGGGGCAAAGGAGGTGAGGGGGTGCGGGCAGAAAGTGGAAATGAAAGCAGACAACAGAACATTGCTGGAGAGCAGAAAATGAGGTGAAAGGAGACATATTTAGAGAAGAACATTTTTCGGTCGCTACCCGGATTCGAACCCGGGACCTTTTGAATGAGAGACCTCCCAAATTGTTAGAAAAAAAGGCGGAGAGAGAGAGAGAGAGAGAGAGAGAGAGAGAGAGAGAGAGAGAGAGAGAGACAGAGAGAGACAGACAGACAGACAGACAGACAGACAGACAGACAGAGACAGAGAGACAAAGACAGAGACAGAGACAGAGACATAGAGGGGGCTCTCGTGGCCTAGAGGTTAAGGTTACACAGCATAAAAGGAAATCCAAATGTTAGAGGCATAGATCTAAAAAGAAAAAGCTCTTCCTCCCAAATTGTTAGAAAAAAAGGCGGAGAGAGAGAGAGAGAGAGAGAGAGAGAGAGAGAGAGAGAGAGAGAGAGAGACAGAGAGAGACAGAGAGAGAGAGAGAGAACAAAACATATAATAACAAGTTATGGCTATTCCTTCTGTTTTTTCTTAGATTTATGATATGACGTATCCATTCCTAATACAGAATTACCTTCAATAACATTTTCAGATTCACTTGTTCTGTTCCTTCGCTCTCTGACATTTAAATTATGTTGTTGTTGCTGTTATTGCTGTTTTTAGTGGTGGTGATGTTGATGTTGATGTTCATAAAGTCTCTAAAGTCGTTTATTGCTTTGTCAATTTAGTGACTTTTGGTCACACGACTTCAAAGAAATAATTCTTTGCTACGTTTTGAGCGCAGTTAGCCCAGGACACAACCCTCATTCCCAGCTCCTCGCATAGAGTGACTAGAATTTGGAAACAATTCGTCATCCTCATCCCTAGCATTTAATAAAAGTATGCCGAAAAAATCACATGGGGTCCACTTCTAAGTAATGACATTGTTAGTGTGTTTAATGTTACCCTACGCCTGACGTCTATGCCATCATATTTTCAATACAACGAAAGGAGTGTGGCCAATAACCTTTGTAATATTAATTTTCATAGACAATGCAGTTGCGTTTCGTATTAAAAGACTTTAAGTTGTCTAGACTTACTTGTGGGTTTACAAGTTATCGCTGTCGTCATTCGCAACCGGTCCCGAGGCACTTCTGTGATAGTCGGAGCATGTAAAAAACCGTGAAAAAACAATGCCCAATGGACCAGAGAATTACAGGATCGCCTCTTCTTTAAGTGATATCAGCAAATTCACCTATAGTATATATATATATATATATATATATATATATATATATATATATATATATATATATATATATATATATATATATATATATATATATATATATATATATAAAATATATATAATATATATAATATAATATAATATAATATAATATAATATAATATAATATAATATAATATAATATAATATAATATATGCATACAAAAAGCAACACACAGAACTGGAGGATCGGAAGCAAAATTGCGTCCAGCGACAAGTCAGGCACCACGGGCATTAAAAGTCCCCATCTCCAAAGAGTAGTACATTTATAGGCTACAATGAATGAAATGGAAAGACAGACCAGCTAGTATTAAGTGCAGTAAATGTTATATCAAATTACTCCCCTATTCTATCCCCATGTGGTGACACGCGACCGCAAATGGCACCATTAAGTGGTAGGTAAGATCTAGCACACAGTCTTTTCGGATAAAGGCGAAAGAAAATCGGAGGTCCCTTGAGCAAGTTGTGCACGTTAAAGATCTATTTGGTTGTCCTAAAATCGATAGAGTATTCTTCGGCTACCAACCTGAAAATGTTTAAAGCGTCGCGCGCGCTCATATGACCTTATGCAGAAACATTATCTGTTAAAAAAATAATAATACAGTGTAGGCCTTATGGTGACCTGCTGGAAAGGACAAAACTGGCCATCCTTCATAATCACGTTCAAGTTCAAACCTCTACCAGTGAGTTTACAGTAATATTACTGTAAACCCTCTCTGCCTCTACTACTAGAGCACTCAGGTAAGTTTTTTTAGGTGGCGATAAGGATCATCCAAGGAGGTTATACAGTAATGTTCTTGGCCTATCACCAAAGAGTATGCCTGTCTATAGGCACCATAGACAATTCTATCGGGATTCCACTTTGCAACTTCTCAGTGCTGTCGTCTCTCCGGAAGTCTCTCTGCGCACTCAGTTAGTTGTCGTTTCGATTTTTACGGACGGTCTCTGGCTTGGCGCAGGCTGGGCTATTTTCGGAAAGAGAAAACCCATCCCCTTTAGACCCAGGCCAATGCGCTTGCGCAAAGGTCGACTAAAATTGTTGTACTTCCTGCGTTCATTGACTTCAAGGAATCCCGCCGTAGGATTACTCTGTCGTTGTTGTTGAGTTGCTTCAAACAGTGCATATTCCCGTTGAAAGAGAATGTTTTTCTCGAGATCTCGAATTGGGATTTAGAAAATAATAGCTACAGCTCTCTATATTTTGTTATGAAAGTAGTGATCACTGCTGGGAAGGCAGACGCCACATCCACGGTAATGGAGCACGACGCAGTTGATAGCGAGAAAAGCTCGGCAGAAGAAGAGTCGCATACATGTTCAACCGAAGAAGCAGAAGAAGACCAGGAAGACGAATCTCAGTCTGGTAATATTGTTGTCTCTCTTTAAAGAGGGGAGAAATTCTGTAGGCCTATAGATCTATATCCAGACCTGCCACTCATCCCGATTTAATCGGGATATCCCGATTTTTTGCCCCAAATCTCAAACATCCCGATTTTCCCGATTTCGATCGCTGGTATCCTGTTTTTTTGTCGTTGCGTCTGTTGCGTTCGATTCTTAGAAAAAAATATAAAACGTTCTGCAATCTCTTTTGTTTGGAAATACCGATTGGACTTTTTATCTACGGGAACTTGGAACGCTATTTTCTAAAGCATCTATGCCGAATCTAGATCTAGATCTAGATCTAGTAGTTGACTCACACCGGTAGTTCACACCGGTCGCGTTGGTCGAGGT